GAGAAATAAAATGTAATGTTGTTCCGCTTCACTCTGTGGTCACAGATGAAGGAGACCAATAAATCATAGGAAAGCTGACTTCAATAAGCCTCAAACTAAGAATTTGTGAATGGATCACAGAATCCCTTGTATAACTAGTACCCAGAGAACAGAAACATTTGCAGTATCTTTTCAGTTCAGTTATAGAAAAACTAAAAATTCTCTATTTAGCAGACCAAAATCTAGTGATGCTATGGCCTCTTACAGGCCTTTGAGCATTCCGGGACTCTTTATCCAGTTTAAATGCCATAGTCAACCATTTTCATTGTTCTTTCCCAGTCATCCTCAACTCCATATTTCTTCTCTCCACTACTATTCAATCCAGGTTAAATTTAATTCTGTACATATCTGAAGCACGGAACCAAGAAAACAAATGAAGCCAAGAAAACAGTCACATGAGCTAGTCATCAAGATGGGCTTAACCTTCCTCTCATTTTGACTAAATTTTATATCGCCTTCTCAGCTTGGGGTTCCAATGCTTCTTTTCTAAGAGGAGTTACTTAAAGAAAAAGAAAAACATGCTACTATGCACAGCATGTAAGGGAGCACATTCCTGTACTTTAGATGCTGGAGCAGGTAGACTGCAAGTTCAAGGTCAGCCTCACAATTTAACTTGACCCGGTCTCAAAATAAAATAAAGGGCTGGGGATGTAGCTTAGTGGTAAAGTGCCCCTGCATTTCATTTCCAGTATCAGAAAAAATAATAATAAATTCTTAATTTGCCACTTTGCAATATAATGTTCTCCCAGAATTGTCTTTCTCAAGGACCTGGAGACCGTCCCTGTGAAAATCTAAACATAGAAAGAATTGGCCTCCTTTCCTTCCAGCCTCCATGGGAGCATTGGTGCCAAACTTCCACAAGGGACAATTAGCAAATGCAGATGGCCTAATCACTCTGAGCCACCTAACTCCCTACTGGAGTACCCTTACTGAAGTGTGTTCCTCCAACAATTTCCCACTAGCTCAGCTTGGTGCTTAAACTCACTCCCACTTTTCCTTTCAAGGAGTTAAGTTTAACCTCATTTCCCCATTGCAAAAGTTGTGAATAAAATTCTTTCTTGCCTGTTTAACTTAGATTGTTGAATAGCTAACATCAAGTGGGGACCTGATACCTGGTCATGACATTTCATTGCCTTAGTTCCTTTACTCTTTGCACCTTTTCTTTCCTTAAACCATTCATTCCTCTATTCCATTCTTATTCTCCGTGGATGTCCTTGCTCTATCAATAGAAAACAGTATTTCCACAGCCCCAGTTGCCCCAGCAGCTCATCTCCCCATATGGCCCAGATGCTCTGCCCCACCACCTGTTCCCACGAGTACTGGAGAGCCTACCGTCGTGTTCCTATGCACAGCCTCCCATGTCCTGCTTCTACACTATTCCCTGGGCTCCTACTATCCCCGCCTGCCCCCTCTCACCCGCCAAACTCATTTCTCTCCTTGCATTTTCTACAAAATTCAAACCAAAATTTGGCCAACTCTTCCCAGAAACTTTTCTTTCTCACATTTTAAGGCAGAAAATGCTATTGGTTTTTCTCCAATTTTCACGGGTTCCTCTACTTTGCCCATTCTCTTATATTAGAAATACTAACGATCAATCAAGGCTTTGCTGTATGCTTCCCTCTTCATTCACTCATTCCCTTTTATCTACATAGCTCTCTGTCATGCCTGGCCCGAATGAGACTTTCACAAGCAAACAGGCCATTCTCTGCAAACAAAAGGCTACTCTCAGTAAATAGGACAGACAGCCACAAGGAAAATTTAGGACAGAGTATACAATCTCCCTGGTGCTGCGAAGTCCAGTGATTGTCTGCACATCTGTGCTGATTACACTTGGACCCTCAGTTATACAGGTTCCTTATTATCATAGCTCCTTCCCAAAACCCTGCATAAACTTAGTTTTCTTTCCCAGCTAGCAGTTGATCTCCCCCACCCCCTGTAATGCCAGCGCATCTACACACAGATAAAATAAATTCAGCTCTTTCCAGCTAGCTAGCTGCTAAAATCTGCCCCCAATTTCAGTCTGTTGCACCTGGACAAGAACAAAGCTTTTTCTCAACAAGGCCTGGCTTCAAGTGCCACACACATGCCATTTAAACAATCCTCCTTCCGCCTTATGCTACAAGGAACCATGCACAGGTATACAATTTGCTGTTTTATAATGTCTCTTAACAAAATGTACTTAAATGCTCATGTACTTTAAGTTCATAGTACACAATAGTTCAGTAACTTCATTTTGTATTTGCTTGTTTAAGCAATTCAGGTTCCAGGAAAAGCAGAACAACCCATATCATTCATCCCCCTTAAGTAAGAAAAGTCATCTCATGAGAACAAAAGTCTCTTTCAATCCATAAAAATGCCACCAAAGCTATGGAACTGGGAAGCCAGAATAGAAATAATCAGCTAGACCCTGGTTCATCTCAGCCAATCCACAAGGCTGGCCTTATTGTCCTGTGAGTGGCAGTTTGAACTTCCTCATCAGTGTGTGCCCCTCTAACTACTCACGTTACAGTTCTTTCCCTCTTTCCCTTTCTTTCTGACACTGCCTAATAAATCTGCCTCTACCTCCTGCTGACGGTATTCGGAACCTCCCTTGAGGTTACCATCTCCCCTTTGGGGAAACTCCTCAGACCCCATCTGGTGATATCATGACACCTCATTCAAACTCCCTCTCAAGGACCACCTGGGTATTCTTCAATTCTCCAGGCACAGTCTTCCTGAGGATGTTGTGCATGGTCTTTCCTTGCTCCAGCACACTCATACTTCTTCATTCAATTAACAACTTTAGGGCCAGGGATTTAGCTCAGTGGTGCTACCACCTGCCTCACAAGCACAAGGTCCTGAGTTGGATCACTGGTACCAGAAAAAAAAAAAAGAAAAAAAAACCCCTCTAATTATACATACTAATAGCTCAAACTGCACTTACTTTCCTTTACTACTTAAATTCCTTTCCTTTGTATTTATCTCCACTGAACACAGGGATAAATGTACCTGTAAAGTTATAATGTGTTGGTGAGGATTGAACCCAGGGCCTCATGCATAGAGACAAGTGCTCCATCGTTGAGCTACAACGCGAGTCCTCAATTTACTGATTCTCTTTACTTCCTATCTTCCCTCTGGCCCTACCTATATAACATTAACTCTATTAAGGGATTTTTGCTTTTTCGTTGCTACATACCAATAGCTTGACAGTTCTAGAACACAGTAGGTGTTCAACAAATAATTATAGAATAGATAAAAACAACCAACATGGAGTCTGAATTCTAAGTAGACAATAAGAGAAATTAATCTGAAAATAAGATGCAATTAGGAAACATATTACTAAATAACCCTTTGTGTCAGAGCTGGCTATTTACATTCTACTGTTATTTGCCCAATTTAGCCTCCTTTTATAATTTTCCTTAATGTTTATTAATCTAATCTTATCCCTATTTCTATCCCTGTAGGCTCTGAGGGATAAGAGGATGAAATTAAAATATCTCACTCCACCTACCAGACCCTCAAGATACCATCTCCAGATATATTCTGCATTCTAATTACGGTATTATTTTGCCATTTTCAACCATTTGGTTCCACCTAGTTTACAAAAATCCTTCATAGAGCCAACTCCTGCTTACTCTGCAGGGAAAGCTCACTGTGTCTCTCGGAATCTTTTCGTGGGTGTCCAGACTATGGTACTTACCCTCCTTTATGGTCTTTGTAGCTCATATTTTACTTATTGGCTCATATTGTAATTCCCATTTTTAAGCAATGGTTGATTATTATGAATCTTCTTTTCTAGAATGTAAATAGTAGGAGGCGTGATTGTGCCATTTTACTTACTGTTTTATCTCAGGATCCTGATTATAGAGGATATTCAGTGAATACTTACTGAATAAAAATTTATTTAAAAAAAAACACTGTACCTGACCTGTAATGTTTTCCTTGCCTGTGTTTCCTTATGTTCATGATTTTGCCTGGCTTACTGACTAATCTTCTAAATTTTGAATTTATTTCTTCTTTGGTGAGTATCGTTTATACCAACTCTGCCTTCTACACTTCTCACTGTAGCAAAGCTCTCCTGCTTAGGGCTGAAACCAGTTTTATAGTCACAGACATTTTTCTTGATTACTATCAAAGAATCTAGACTTCGTCACAAAACAGAGCAATACTTTTTTTAAATATTTCCAAACAAAGCAGAAAAACCTCATGTACCCAATATCTTGAAAATAAGTTTTGTCATTAAAGCATGTCTACTTCAAAATTGGTGTAGATCTCATGCATTTGAGTGGAAGAGATTCCTTCTCTACTTCTCAGTTAGGAATCTCAATGAGGTGACTTACAAATGAGTAGCCTAATGAATGAATTGCATTCTTTCTCTTCTTTCTCAAAACCTTGGCTTCATGGACCCAGGGGAAAAAAAAAAAAACTAGATTCCACATTCAAGCATGAAATTATGTATGTAAAATACACTCACATGCTAACAAAATATTGCATCCAACTGCTAATTTCATTTGTAAATATGCTAAGCTGAAGCTTTAGGGTGGCAATTACCATAAATTTCTTTAAAAATAATTGAAATAAGAGAAAAATATTACATCTTCCATTCTTAGAAGTCAAAGTAAATTGGACTGGGGATTTAGCTCAGTGTGCTGCTGCCTGCCTCGCAAGCCTAAGATCCCGAGTTCAATGCCCAATACCAAAAACTAAAACGAAACAAGAAGTCAAAGTAAATTGTATTTTCTGCAACAAAAAGTTTTCTTCCCTCTGTAGTTAAGTTGATTTGCCTGTTTTGGGCTGTGTGTAAATGTCAGGTGTGCTAAACTTTTTTTATCTGAAGCCAAAAATATAGCTCATCCCAGATCTTAAAAACAAATGGAAAAGGTCTTTCTGCAGTTTATGATTTGTCACCACACAGCTGTGAAAGAAGCCAGCCTAGCAGGCTGGATCCAGTACCAAAATATTAAAAGACTAAAAACAATTACCTCTTCAAGGACATCTGCGAGCTTGCTAAGTATCTCTTCAGGAAGGCTCTGGAATGTTGGAACGCTGAAAAACAAAACAGAGGATGATGCTGAACACACTTAATATAATAAATAAAAAGGTAATATAGCAGCAAAAAAAAAAAAAAAAAAAAAAAAAAAAACAACATTTCACAACAAAGATTTGCAGATTTCTCTGCAAATGAAAATCAAAGCGATTACTTAAGCATGGTTTAATGTCTACATGGAAAAGAGCTTGGAGATTCACTAATGCAAGTCCAAGTCATGCTTTTAATTATCTACCATTCTATGAATGTTTCTGCTACCACGGAGAGACAACCACTCTCTCCAGATTCCTTACAGCTTCATCTCCCTTCCCAGCCCCCACCCCCATTCCCCGCTCCAAGCAAACCCTTCTTCTGGCCAGTCCCCACCCCTTCTTCAATTGATGATACATTTTTATGCAAACATTTATTAAACAATGTAGGAATGCGTCCCACGCTCCCCACCCCTTCCCTACCGTAGCCAAGTTCTTTTATAAGCTCATTAGCATTCATCTTTTTTCCCACCCAATGCAGAAAATATAACCCCAGAAGTACAGGCATGCTAGGCAAGAGTTCTACCGTAGACCTCCACCCGTAGCTCTATTATGAGCTCTTCTACCTTTTGTTGCAACTATAATTACATAATTAATCAAATCATTGTTTGTTTTTAATATCTTCCCTGCAAGAATTAAAACTCCCTAAACAGAAGAACTGTATCTGCCTTCCTTTATCAACATCGTATGTTTTCAGTGATTTATAAACAACAAACCCAACAGTATAATTTGACTGAAGTTATAAAAACATGGATGTGTGAATGCTCCATACAAGACTAATAAAAATTCTGAGATGTTCGAAGTTAAATTACAAAGAGCCGAAAAATAGAAAGGAGATGTGGAAAGTGTTGATATGGGGCATTAATCAGTAATATGATACAGGCCAAAAAGAAAAAAAAAAGGCTATTTTACATTTTTTAATATGTGTTAAAACCTTAACTCCCACTAAAATCCTCTGGCAACCACCAGGACTGTGCATACTGTTTACATGTAAACTTTGTGAACTATAAAACACAACCAATTCAACAGCAAGGAATACTTGTCTTTATAAATTGCTATCACAAATCTTCCTCTCTTTGGCACTGTTTGGCCCTCTTATGTTTAGCCTATGTAGAACACTGTTTTCCTTCCCCAGAATGTTTTTAGGTATTCCCAATTCTGGTAGCTGCAAGGCATTTATTTGTCCCAGGAACTGGTCCTTTCCTTTTCTGTCTAGCACCTGTAAGGGCTCAATAAACACTTTCATTTCAGAGACTTCTTAGTCTAAAGAATTCGGGTTTAACAGCAATTATTAGAAAAAGATTAGACAGGATAGAGCAAAGAATCAGGCTCATAGTACCATGATACTGAAAAATTTGAGTTTAGTTCTCATTTTCTTACCTTGTCCTCTTATTTTTCCTCTTCAAACAGCAAATGAAAATATTGAATGATGTTGAACAGAAAACCAATAAAATTTCCTTCACATGTGAAATAATAATGATCTTAAATGAAAACAAAGCTCCTCAACATATGTTTCCTGAAAGGAAACTGGAAAATTTAAGTAGGATGTAGAACTCAATTTTCATTTAATCATATCCCAATGCTTAGAGAAAAGACTATAAATGAAAGCACACATTTAAATGTCTGATATCTGACATGGAATGTAATACCAGCGTTATTAGAATACTACAATGAACAAAGCCATAATGTACTGTTTTGATATAAGCATGAAAGTTTGCTATTTAGTTGTCGCTGTAATTTCCATTACTAAAGGTAAAGCCCATTGATAAAATCCCAAGGTTTTATGCAAAGGTGTAACAACTCACTCAGGACCATCTGTTCCTCCAGATTTACTGTTGTGGTCTGAGCCACATGGGTTTTGATTTCCAGAAGGCAGTCTACTATAACAGCTGGATGAAACATACCACAGATAGAGAGAGAAGATAGAGGAAGCTGTTTCCATGAATTATATAGGTTGAAAATTTTGGTCCTTCCTTGTTCTTTTAATGAGCTGTGTTTTAGTTTCTTTTAAGATGTTACAAAATTTAGGGTCTTTCCATCCATTGGGTATGTGTGGAAAATACAAACAACAACTGAATTTTATAATTGGATCCATTCTTTAGGAAGGCCTGTTGCTTCTATGGTACTTTTATCTCAATCTAGGATGTGTCTACGTCAAGACATGCTATAATATTTTCATGATCGTGAACAGTATTACCCATGAGAAAAAAGTAATATTTGATTAACCATATAATACACTAAATGGAAACACAATATTTAGCACACTACCTTAATTATATTTTAAATTCATTTTTAATTTCATCAAAACATTGTGCAACATTTCTTAGTAGTAAAATGTAAGGTTACCTCAAAACAATGAGTAGCTTTTATTACTAATAAAAGAAGCAAGGACAATTTTAAGAAGAAATATTCTATAAAATGATTTGCAACAAAACATTTCTGGACTTAATAAAATGAAAAAATTTTAACAGAAAAGTTCCTTTTATAAATTTATTTTAAAACATTTAGAAATTATTTTAAAATTTACTTATAAATTTATTAAAAGTCTCTGTCATCCAAACAGTTTCATCATGTAACTAACTTGTTTTCTAAGAATTACCAGACTACAAGTAGCTTGAACACCAAGAACAACACATTTGAGGATTTTCGGAATTTGAAATTTTACCCATGAAATGTATCAGTTAAATTTTAAAAGTACATCAAAATACATTTAGACTCCACTAACTTCAATATATGATAGTTCAAAATAAAAGTTGTCTGATTTAGAAAATTGAAGGTAAATAATTATAAAGACAAACTTCTAGAGAAAGTGTTTAAAGACTAGAGCAAAATATTGTCACTTATATTTAAAAATAATTTATTGTAAGAATTTGCATGATAATTACAAATAATTCTTACAGATATGTATTAAAATGTCTGGACCCCTAAAGGCTTGCAATAGACCTGAATTAAAAGAATTACTAAATATAATATAGATGATGCAAAGTATGGTATTTTTCCAATGGTTTTTCTAATTAAGTAAAACAAAGACTTCAAATTTGCAATGATAGTGATAGAAGGTAAGATGTGAGTGATTTTTATTTGCCAGGAATTGGGCTAAGGTTTTATAGACAATTAGAGTGTTTGTCTAAGGTCACACCAATTAGCATTGATGAAGATAGGATAAAACCCCATGTAAATGACTATGCAACTGATCAATAACCCACTGAGCTACACACTGTTCAGTGAGGGAACTAAAATAGTACCTTTCAGAGCAGTGCTTTATTCTTGTAGATATTTACAAAAAATCATTAATACTGATAATATTTGATTTAGTACATTCAGTAATTCTCTTTTACTTACAAAAAATGTCAAATAAATTAAAGATTGAAAGAATTTTTAAGGATAACCAATATCCCTAACACAGAATCGTTTGTTAGCAGTGAGCTATTTTTGCTTTATCTACTTTCAACCCACCTATTTTTCTACGTGTGCATATTTATTAATCTATAGATAGATATTTCTAGATAAAATATCTGAGACTACATTTTAGGTATCATGAAATTTTGTTAGTAATAGTTTACTAAACATTCTAAACATAAATATTTTAAAATAGATAATTCTACTACCATTATTATAAACAAAATATTAACTTCATCTCGTCTTCTTTCTGTATGTAAATATTACTGCTGTCCAAAAATCTATCAGTTGCTTTTTTGTGTTTGTTTTCTTTTCAATGATACAGTCAAAATCTGAGCACTGCTTTTGGCTTTTACATCTCTTTAGTCTCTTATTCTACAATAGTTTTTCTACCTTTTCCCTCATGGCACTGACTTTTTGAGAGCTTGTTTGGAGGTTCTAGCAGGGGAGCGCAGCTACTCGTATACCCTTGACCTAGGTCCTCCTCTTGGGGGGGGTCCCCCTCTTCTATCCAGATCACAGCTTCGGGAGGGACACACCTGGGGCGGTAAGGAAGGAAGAGGACACCTGCCGGCCAGCCAGATCAGCCAAATCAACCCTGCGATCAATGGGGTGACAGATGTTGCAGCCAGATCACCTCACATCCAATACTGACTTTTTAAAGAGGCTAGAATAGTAATATTAATAGATGTTTTATATTCTTTGTCTTAGGGATTTTATTGCTGGTAATCTACTGTATGAGAACAATAATAGAGTTGGACAGGGATAAGTACAAAGAATTTATTAGAGGTACATATCCAGAAAAAAATTGGGATATACATAGAATAACAATTACATAAAGCAACAATTCTTAATGGGCGGCCCAAGGATGCCCCAAAACCTTTTCAGGGTGGTCTTTAAAGTTAAAACTATTTTCATAGTAAGTCTAGGTTGCAATTTTCTTTGCGCACCTCTCCCCTAATCCCTCATGCACAGTATAAAATCCAGGCCCTCGTATGCATGTACCCTAGGCTTGTACACTACCCCTGAGCTATACTCTAGCCTGACTCTTACTTTTTCACATGAATGTAGTAAAAATTTCCATGGGCTATGTAGATGTCATCACTCTGATGGCTAATAACACATTTGCTTATCTCTTCTGTTTTCTAGAAAATTTTAAGGTCATAAATTTTTAATCTCAATATTCCATTTACATAAATTAGGATGCTTTTGTTACTTCTTTCGTGTTCTTACTAGTTTTTTTTTTTTTCGTCATGCTTGCTATTAACATTATCATAATCCAGAGCCAGGGATTTGGCTCAGTGGTTCGTTCCACTGCCTGCCTTGCAAGTGTAAGGTCCCAAGTTCAGTCCCCGGTACCAAAACAAACAAAAACATTATCATCATCCAATAAATCATTCTTTTAAAATAATGTTTTCCTTGCATTTAAGTGTAAAAACAAAAAGTAGTACATTTGAGTACATTGTTTTACAAAACAGTTCTCTCTCTCTCTCTCTCTCTCTCTCTCTCTCTGTCTATATATATCCCCTGTACTGGAGGTTGAACTCAGGGCCTTGCACTTGTGAGGCAGG